TGAAAAAATATCGACTTCTCATATTAGACTTATACACAGTTTAATATGTTATACACGTTTATATTATAACTACACTAACATTTAAAAATATAAATTAATATATTTTAGATGAGCAATGAACAATCAACCTCGCGTCCCCGCCCAAACTATGTGCCCTTAACCGAAGCTGAGCGCAACAATGAAAATGCGCTTTGGGTGACGCCCCACATGGTTGCGAAGTAAGTAACTATGAATTTTATCTAACGTGAAATAATTTTTTCAATGTATCATAATGTTATCAAAACTTTTATAAATAAATAATATTAATTTTCTGAAGCGATCAAGAAGTGTTGGACCAAATCAAACTAATAATCGGAGGACACTTTCTTGGGAACTGGGCAACATACACGGAAGTTGACCCCAAGGTTCGTGAACTTTGGTGGAACCTTTTCAAGGTAAAAAAAAATGAATTTTCTCTGCGTAATTGTATTAACGTAACATTTGATAAAAGATAAATTAATTTATTTGTTTTTTATAAAGGGTCGGTTTCGATGGACTGAAGCCCAAGGTCCCGCTATTCTTAGAGCGTATAACGCTAGGATTTCAAACTGGCTTCGTCCTACTTTTAAGCGTGCCCGAAAGAGCGGGGTAAAGCCTGGATGGTGTTCGGATGAGGTGTGGGATAACCTCGTCCGTCACTGGTCTTCTGATCCAAACTTCTTGGCAAGAAGTCAATCCGGTAAGAAAAACCGGATGTCCGAGAAGGCTTTAGAAACCCAATGGCATGGGGGCCGCAAACCTCAGAGTAGACATAAAGAAGATCTTGTAAGTATTTTTCAAAAAACCTTACACAATTACAACCCTTTATTTTAACAATTAATTATGGATCTTAAGCCTTTTTTCCAAACTGTAGTCGGGGCCTGAGAAGAAGAAGGTCTCAATTCTCAAGGTCATCAAGCACTGCTGGACAAAGCACGGCGATGAGTCCGATGCCGATCTGCCACCCCACCTCGCTGAAATCGAAGTAAGTAACACTATTTTGTTACTTATTTCCATTCAAAATCAAATTGAGTAACATTAAATTAACAATTTTTGTACATGTAGTCAAAGTATAACACAAATGTTGAGAAGAGGCGGGCAGAATTAGGCTTGACTCAGGAGGATGAGATTGATTCTGATGTGGAGGATGATGCCATCTTTGAGGCAGTTGGGGTCTACAAGGGCCGGGTCCCGTGCATGGGGGCTGAGGGGCAACGGATCTTGTACGACCGCAGCGGTGCTTCATCTTCCCGATCAAGGCGCGGAGAGGATCCGCGTATCGCTCAAATGCAGCGGGAGATGGAGGAGCAGCAGCGGGCCTTGGCTGAGCAGCAGCGCACCTTGGAGGAGCAACGCAAAAAAGATGAAGAAACAAGGGCCCGGCTGGAAGAGATGGAACGGATCCTCAGCGCCGGAATTCGGAATCAGCCTCAGCCTCAGCCGTATGTACTGCACCCTGAGCAGACACCTCAAGTTCCGCACATGGGCGGTTATTTCCGTAACAACTCTGCTACCGGGTTGCCTTCATTTGGATCTATTCAGGATATCAATTTTCACAACCTGTTTCAAACATCTGGAGGCAGCCAAGGAGGTGGCAGTCGCGGAGGTGGCAGTCGCGGAGGAGGCAGTCGCGGTGGCCAAGCTGGAGACAACCGAGAAGATGAGACCGAAGAAGATTATCTATATGATGATTCTAGATATTATCATAATGGTGGCCGAAGGAGCTTGTAAATGTATACATTTTTATTTGAACATTGTTTATTTACTATAATTCTATTGTGCTTATTATTACTTTTATTTCAGTCTGTTTGGTTATGAAATGTGTGTTCTAGTGGGTTCTAGTAGTCTGTTTATTACTTTTATGAATGCAAATATTTTTTAAAATAAACTTTTCTAAAGAATAATTAAAAAAAAAATTATTTTTTTTATAAAAAAAAATTTTTTTTTTAAAAATAAAAAACTTTAGTCACGGATCCGAGCCGTGACTAAATTGTAGACCGATTTTTAAAAAAGTTATTTTGCAAATTTAATTTTTTTTTAAAAAATAAAAAAGTAGTCACGGATCAAGTCCGTGACTAAAATTTGAAATTTGAAAATTTAAACAGTAACATTCGGCGGTTAATTTTTTTAAATTTGAAAATTTAGTCACGGATTTAGTCCGTGACTATATGTAGTCACGGAAAAGGCCGTGACTAAGTCGCCGGTGTGGTTATTCCGGTGACAAGTTAGTCACGGAAATGGTCCGTGACTAAGCCGTGACTACGCTCAGTCACGGATAAGATGACCGTGACTAGAATTAGTCACGCCCAAACAGTCACGGATTTAGTCACGGACTTAGCAGAGTTAGTCACGGATTTTTTATACTACGGTCCGTGACTAAATCCGTGACTAACACCGTGTTTTTTTGTAGTGCAGGTAGTCGTGTTTTGATTGCCCCACATATATGCTTTCACCCTATGAAGAGGGAGGTTTGGAGACAGTTGGAGGTACTATAGACGCTAAAAATATTGAACTAGTACATGGGAGAAGAAGTAGAAATATTGGTTGAGTAGTGGTGAAGAGGATTTCAGAAGAGGTTTATGGACTCGCAGGATGCAAGATTTCAAATCTTAGGGGTGAGGGCGAGAGAATAGGTGGAATGGATTGTGTTATTTTTCAATATCAATTCCATTAAAATTAGATGAAATCCAAAAGAAAGAAAATTCATGAAATGATTGGGGACACTCATATTTTGAAGGATTTTATAGAATTAAAGTTGAGGACACCAACATTCTTGTGAAATTTTAAATTCCTTTCAAATCTAAATCAGGTACACTCCCTAACAGTTGAATACACCAAATTAGCATATACAATGAAAGATACAAAATCGGTATTATAGGGAATATATAAAATCATTAAATCAAACAAATACAAAATACTAATTGATAGAACTAAATCCACTAAAAAATAGTACTCTGTAATAGATAGCTGAAAAATGAAAGCAATCAGAATAATATCTAGAGAGATGAATGTATGTAGTTTATTCAGTGTATTGAGCTTGATCATACTTCCAAGAGTTACATGAATTTTTAATACAAAATTGGGACAATAAATATTCTGACGACGTGGTCGCCATGCGTGAATTGATGTGTCACCCTTCTATGATTTGTGGGACTGATCGTGAGTTGACCCGTGATCTGCGGGATTTTTTGCTGGTCGTGTAGCTTCCTGGAAGTAGCACCATACGGCCATGCATGTGCAATAGTGAATGCGGTTGCGCACTACGTGTGTAGCGGCGCCATGTCTCCGTGAGAGCAGTAGCTTATCACGTTGAGGTGATGGGTGCACGTGCATAGCATGCCATGCCCATATTTCCGTGTAGAGGTGCACCACGTCGTGCTTAGCATGTCATGTCAAAGTCGTCTTGTAGAGGTAAGAGTGTAAGACTATGTCGCGCTTAGCAAGTCATGTCTAAGTCTCCTTGTAGAGATAAGACCATGTCATGCTCAACATGCCATATCCTTGTAAAGGAGACTCCATGTCTCTTACTCCGAGTGTGTTGACCATGTCACTCCCTTGGCCTGAAGTCAATGCTCATTCAATCCATCTTATTTACGAGCTCAGCCCTTCAACTGGGCTAACCATATTGGGCCAAATGGTGATCGATATATCATCACAAGCCCCCACTTTCTAAGTCGAGTAATAAAACGGTGAGAGGAAGTATACACACATTAATTATTCAAATAAAGTCATATTATGTCAAATAAGATAACCATTTTGTCCGTGCTAAGCACGAAATTCATAGGCTCACCTGGAGTAGTATAGGAATGATCCTCAAATACTACATCCGTTCTTAAATAAGTGTAACATGTTGAATTTTGCACTATTCACATGTTCTACTTTGACTATGTTTTATTTATTAATGTATTAATATTTTTTTGAAAAAAGTTTAAATTTGTGTCATTGTATATTTTCAAAATCTGATTTTTTTTTACTAATACCTAATTATACTTCCTCCGTTCTTTTTTAATTGCAACAGTCAACTTTTCACGCTTGCCAACGCATAAGTTTGACCGTTAATATCTTCCATTCCTTATTAGTAAAAAATTAGAAAAAAACATATTTTGAAAATTTATTATGAGCAGAATTTGAAAATATTTTTTAAAAATTTAACTCATAACACATTAATAAATAAAATGTAGTCAAAGTAGAATCTGTGAATAGTGAAAAAAGTCCTACGTTGCAACTAAAAGAGAACGGAGGTAGTATATATTAATAGTCAAAATTATGTCTCGTCAAATGTGAAATGTTGACCGTTACACTTATTTAAGAATTGAGGAAGTATGTCGGTGCTGAGCATGTCTGAAGCCCTACCTCAATAACAGGGGCAAACCCAGGAAGTATGTCTTGGAAGGGCGGTAACTTAAACAAAATATTTTTTGGGAGGGCGAAAATTGTTTTTTATTATATATATACCCTAAAAAATTTTGTTGTTGGGGGGCGACCGCCCCCTGGGTCTGTACTACGGTCCGCCCCTACTCAATAATAGATAAACCGTCCATGATGAGCATGTCTGAAGCCCTACCTCAATAATCATGGATTCGTTCATTCATGGTGTGCGCGTCACTTGGGGTAGTATACCAATGGTCTCCATTTCATCCATGGTGAGCGTGTTACTCTCCTAATAAAGCTAGTGTTACCCCCAAATAATAAATAAACTGTCCATGGTGAACATGTTACTCTTAGGCCCGTTGAGCATGTCAACAATAAGGTGTTAAACCAAATACTCCCTCCCTCCCCAAAAAGGTTCTCGAAAAGGTTCTTCATTTAAAGTAAGGAATATGTGGCTAAAGTTAATTTTATCTTCTTTGCACAAAATTTCAATCACACAGTTTTTACTTTTTTTAATTCACGTGATAACTTTGGTCAACCTTTTCTGAACTGAGGGAGTAATAAATACGGAGTAAATGGTACATGTTGAGCATGTCACTTACATGTAGTACGGAGTATATCATTGGTCTTTATTTCGTTCATGCTGAGCATGTCATCCAAAGTAGAATACCAATTTGTCTAGTAATTCATAGTATTAATCCATTGTTTTCCATTTTTCAAGGATGCCAATACAACAAATAAGAATTCACGGCAGCCACACCCCATAAACTGACTGTCACCTTCCCGGAGGAACCCACTGCAGCCGCCCTCTGGGGAGGAGCTGGCTGTCGCCAGCCGACCAATCCCCGGCGTCCTCCGTCAGTCGCGGGTGGGTCTCTGCTTTTCGTCGCGGGCAGACAACCCCGGAATCCTCACACTCCGTTGCGGACCCCGACCAACAAGGGCCGCGTGCTTCCGTCCTCCGCCATCGAGCGGCAAGATCTGAAGTTCAGCGCCATCGCCGCATACCATCGCGCCCACGGTCCAGTTGCCGCCGGTCCAGCTTTGCTCCGTCGCCTACCAGGACGGTCTTCGCCGAATCGTCGCTCCAGCCTGTCCCGTGGTCTTCCGTCGCCTAGGTCTCTGTTAGTTGCTGCTCTGTGCGTGGTTTTCAGAACAGGTACGTACCTTTCAAACTTTAATTTCTTGTCTTTTCTTTTGTTTCATCCTTTTTTTGTTTAGATAACTAGCTTTTTTTTTATATACAAGTATTAAGATTGATATTGAACATGTAGATGTTGAATTAATTTTCATAACTAGTCACCGATTTATTTTATGTATTAGCTGCTGATTTTTTTTTGCTAAATTCTTTTTTACATTATATTTTAGATGCCCACATTCTATGGACATATTGGATTCCATAGATTTAAGAGATCTCGGGGGACCTGTTAATGGAACAACTTTAGAAAATATATCTTGGATAAATGATAATTCCAATATTGAGGTATCTAGGTCAGAACCTCCAAGAGCCGACTTGTTGAAACCGAAAAAATGTCGCCCTCGTGGGCTAAACATTACTTTGGACGCGACTCACTTTGGATCGTGCAAATTATGACTCTCGATTTCTAAATTTGAAGGATATCAAGAACTATTCCCCATCGACGTTATCACGCTCTGTCCAGACTCAAATGACGTAGTCACTGAGTCCCCGAGGGTGAATTTTTCAGGACACACACCCTTTCCGTAAGACTAAGCTTTAGGCTCTTCCCTATGCATCCTTTTATCATCGAGTTCCTATGTTAGCTGGGATTCCTCTATGCCAGCTCACTTCATTTGGTTACCAATACTTATTGGCATTCTTCGCTGGAGATCAACGTTAAGCCGACTCTAGATCTTTTTAAGCACATGTTCAGGGTTGGTCAATGCTCTCGAGCTAATAGTCTATCCTGGGTATCCGTTTCCCAACGTGCCCATCTTGATGCGTAGAAATTCTCGCACAGTAGAATTAGGAATTGGAAGGAAGAATTTGCCTTTGTGTCTATCAGGCATGTTCTCCATCCCCTTTCCAACGAATTTCAGTTCCCAGTCTAGGAAGTTTGCACGTCCCATTTTTTCCATCAATCAAGAGTTGTGGCCAAAGGAGTTTCTAGCGGGGCGGACTGTTTGGCATTTCTACATACACTATTGAGGATCATTTGAGCAGACTTGGTTTTTACAGGTATGACGTCCTGTGTGGAGAGACTCGAGAAGATCACTGGGGAAGGGTCACGAGCATCTACTCAAGACCCGCCGAATAAGAAGCAAAAGTCTATACCTGCCTTGCAAGGTGAAGTTGCCTCGTCCTCATCTGCACCCGTAACCAACGCCCCAATGACCAAAGAGGCGTGGCATGTCACCCGGAGCACTAGTGGCACTCGTGATGTCATGCTCAAGGAAGGGCTGAAGAGTTTGATTGATGGGCCGATGGATGATGATTGTCTTCACGCCGTAGCAGAGGTAACCACTCACTTTCCTTGTTAACATGTATGTAAAATATCCATAATCATGTGTATATATACATATATCATATTATTGTACTGTAATATTTAGCGCTTAAGGGGTACTCCGTATATAATATATTTGTGTGCATGATTAGGGGGTAGACAATGACATAATTGACATTATGTGTGAGGTAAACACATTCAAATATTATTAGTAAATATTTATTTAGTAGTAAAGCATATGTGTAGGTGTTTATTTATGTATAAGGATATGTGTGACTAACAATATGTATTTATATTATATATATATATATATATATATATATATATATATATATATATATATATATATAGAGGAATGATCCTGTCCAGCCGGAGGGACAGGATCTTCCGTCCGGCCGCCGCCGTTTGGGGCGGTTCCCGGTGGAGTTTTTTGATGAAATTTTTATGGAATGTTCCTTATCAAGTCTAGTTTATCCACAAAAAAATTCAGCTAAAAATTCGATCGGGAAGGCAGTCAAATAATTTTTTGAAGATAACTGCTCCAACTTAAACATATAAAACGCAGTTATGTTTCAAAATATTATTTGACTGCCTTCCCGATCGAATTTTTAGCTGAAATTTTTTGTGGATAAACTAGACTTGATGAGGAACATTCCATAAAAATTTCATCAAAAAACTCCACCGGGAACCGCCCTAAACGGCGGCGGCCGGACGGAGGATCCTGTCCCTCCGGCTGGACAGGATCTTTTCCGTATATATATATATATATATATATTTTGCAGCTCATTTTGAAGATCTCCGAGAAGAATCGCCAACATGTTGAGCGCGAGCAGGAGCTGTTAATGTTGCTTTCTGAAGAGCGGGCTATCCATAAGAGATTGGGCGAAGAGATAGACAACCACAAGGTCAGGGCGGCTCAGGAGAGGGATGCTCACGTTGCCGAGTTAACCAAGGTTCGCATGAAGATTGATGTTGAGCGGGAACACTACATTGATTCTCACCTAGAGGAGATTGCTGAACGTTGGCTAAATACTCCTGCTGGCGAAGATAGACTTGATAAAGATGGTGCTTTGTGCTTCAATTTGGGGGAATACTCCAAACAACAGGAAATTTATGCTATTCTGAAGGGTAAGCACGGCGTCTCATGCATTGCCGATTGGGGGCTTCCTTTTGAGATTCCCAACCCAGAGCCTGAGATTGTTGATCCTTCTCCAAGAGCCATTCATTTTGGCGAGCTCCCTAGCGATGTAGATCTCGACGAGCCCATAACTTCAGAAGAAGAAGCAATGCTTGGGCTACTGAGTTTGAATGATCTCTCCCTTGACCGTCTTCAAGCATTGGAGAATGCTAGAGTTAAACTAGCATAACATGGTCGGCATGTTTTTGTTTTCCAGTACCTGTTTTGTTAAACTGTTTTTTGAATTTAAAGTGAACAATTATCTTAATAACATAATCTTTACTTTTATATCGTTGTTGTTTTAATTAATATTGTTGCTTTTATCGATGATCACGTTGCAATCACGCCCTGCTCAGATGTGGTGTGCGTGGTCATTTTCTTTGTAGTCATATATGATGATATAGCACTGAGCATAAAACTCAATGCCTCCCCCTCCCCAAACTTCTCCTGGATGTTGGATCTCGAGAACTTTGGTTCAGAATGATGACAAAATATGTCACTAGAGGGTTACCATTAATAGCAAAAGACACAAGATGTCGGGGACACCTCCTTTTTTTTTGATGAAATGTAAAAATATATTAACACCCAGAAAATTATACATCAAGTGTCCTAGATCTCCTAAAAAAAACCCACCCCCACATAAAGTGGGGGTGAAAGGAGGTTTTTTCTCGATCTAATCCACATCAAAAAGGACAAGTATGAAACTTGTCCAAATAAAAAAAGAGCATAAACATCAGTGCTGCCTAAGCACACACACAGATCGGAGGCTAAAAAAACCCAACAAAAATACATAGGTGTTGTAAAAAACAAACACCTAAAAAATCGACGACCCTGCTTCATGCTGCGGCATCCAAGATGTCCATGCCACGGTGTCCAAGTGTCTAAGCCGCGGCATCCAAAATATCCATGCCTCGGCCAATATAATCCATCATGTAGCAATCGGTCAAAGCCGCGGCATCCATAATATCCATACCGCGGGCTTCTACTCAAAAAGTGATCAAGTCATGTGGATATATATTGAATAGTATTTTATATACCACATGCTTGATTTTTGCAATGATCTCCTCTTCCTTGACGTCCTTCTCATCAAATTTGTTGGCGTTCCTAGCGTGCCATAGGTAGTAAACCGCGGCACTGAAGGCAATCCGGACAGCTTTCCCTTTGATTTTTTATCCTTTGTGATCTTTTAGAATCCATTTGACCGAGCTATGCATCGTGGTCATCTCTCGAGTCATGCCCAACCATCCTTTAATCGCGTCCCAAACCCTACAAGTGTAATGACATCGAAAGAATAGGTGTGGAATTGTTTCCAATCCACCCTTACAAAGGTCACACCGGTTAACAATATGTAGGTAACCGAGATTATTCTGGGTAGGAAACCGGTTCCTCAAAGCAAGCCATACATTGAAAGAGAACTTAGGAGGAATATAAGACTTCCAAATGAAGCTCATCCACACTCTTGGTGTCCCTTTAGTTCTCAACAACTCATAAATCTTACCGGAAAGTAGTTTGCCATTCTCAGTTCTCGCACCAAGACCCAGAATTGTATCATTCAAATTGTTAAAACAACCTTTTATTTGGTCCTGGATGTGACTCAATTTCTTCATGAACACTGAGTCACGATTGTGTGGGATAAAATCTCACACACTCCTACCCTGAAGGTAGATCCCATTAACCCACCTTACCCAAAGTGTATCCTTCTTCCTATGGACGTCCCAAAGTGTTCGAGCAAGGAGAGCATGGTTCCAAACCCTAGCGTTATGGATGCCGAGCCCCCCCCCCCCCCCCCCCTCTCTTTTGGTAGACAAATGTCATCCCAAGCCACTTTAGAGAACTTCCCACCCCATAAGAAGACTCTACAAATAGAGACTATCCTATCCAAGATAGTTTGGGGGACCGAAAACACTTGTAGCAAAAAAGATTGGACCCCTTGGATCACCGATCTAATCAACTCAAGTTTCCCGGCATAGGATAAGGTCTTCGTATTCCAAGCTTTCAAGAAATCCGAAATGGTAGAAATCAAAGGCGCATATTGAGCTACCGATACCTTTAATGGAGCAAGTGGTATCCCAAGGTACTTTACCGGGAACGTCCCACGCCCAAAGTCCACAAGAGCCATGATCTCATCAAGATCCATATCATTAACACCCCCCACAAAAATGTTAGATTTATTATGGTTAACCCTTAGGCCCGATGCATCTCCAATCTCCCTAAGGGCATTGACAAGTATTTCAATAGAATATGTGTCACCCCGTGAGAAGAGTATAAGGTCATCCGCATAGGCCAAGTGGGTTATGCCAAGCTTGGCGCATTGGGGGTGAAAATTGAAGTTCGGCCCTTTGGTTTTTAAATTAATCAAACGGGAAAAATACTCCAGACAAAGGACAAAAAGAAGCGGAGACATTGGATCTCCTTGGCGAATACCTCTTTTGCCCTTAAAGTACCCATACAAACAACCATTCAAAGAAACGGAAAATGAAGCCGTGGTTACGCACTCCATAATCCAACCGATAAATCTAGCGGGGAAGCCCAAACCCCTTAAAACCTCATCAAGAAATTCCCAAGAGATCGTATCATATGCCTTTCGCAAATCCACCTTGATCATACATCTAGGTGAGATTCTCTTCCTCGTGTATCCTCTAACAAGTTCTTGGGCAAGAAAAATGTTATCAAACATGAGGCGGCCATCCACAAAAGCACCTTGGGCTAGGTCAATCAAGCCGGGGAGGCATGGAATGAGTCTAGCTGCAAGGATTTTCATAATTATTTTGTATAAAACATTCGTGCAAGAAATCGGTCTATAGTCCGAGACCTTCGGTGAGTGGTTCGTTTTTGGGATAAGAGCAATAACCGTGTGGTTTATTTGCTTTAGTAACTTACCCGAACGAAAGAACTCTTTGATGGACCGGACTATATCATTCCCGATAAGATCCCAATTTGACTTGAAAAAGGCGGATGAATATCCATCCGGTCCCGGTGCCTTGTCATTGCCGATGTCAAATAGAGCATTTTTAATCTCTATCGTCTCAATCGGCTCAAGGAGACTAGCATGAACGCTAGATTCCACTAAGGGACCGGATCCCAAAACCGTGGGATCCAAGTGATGGCATTCGGTACCTGTACCAAACAAATCTACAAAAAACTTTACAAATTCATCCCCAACTTGCTCTAAAGATGTAGTAAGACTACCATCTTCAAGAGTAATAGAGGATATTGCATTCCTTGTCACCTTCCTTTTCGCAATCGCATGAAAATACCTAGTACCTTTATCCGCCTCCAGGATGTGGTTCGCCTTTGCCTTTTGTTGGTAAAAACTTGTTTCCGCTTCGCTAAAGAAAGTGGCTCGAGCTCTCTTGTCCTTCAATTGGCGTAGGAGTTCGACATCCGAAGGGGATTGGAGCACCAGGTTCTGAACTCTCTTGAACTCCTCTTTGGCCGCCTTTGCTTTGTTTGATATGTGTCCAAACTCCTTTTCATTCAGCTTTTTGAGCGGCCCTTTCAACATTTTCAACTTCCTTACTATAGAGTATTGGGCCGAGCCCTCTACTCTTTGGTGCCAAACCTGCTCAACTATGTTAGAAAAATCATGATGTTTTATCCACATATTGAAGAATTAAAATGGCTTGGGTTTTGGAGGGGAGCTATGAAGTATTGAGATAATGGAAGCCGAGTGGTCAAACTCCACCTCAATGTCATAAAAATGAGCTTTACACCCAACACCATTTTGTCCCCAAATATCATTAATTAAAACCCGGTCAAGCTTAGCCTAAAGAATGCCCCTATTCCATGTGTAAAATACACACGTAGATGGGGCATCCTGTAGGTTAGCCGAGACCATAAGGTCAAGTAAATCATGCATCATGTAAGCCGAAGGGGGGGTAGGACCCACCCTTTCATTTGGAAAACTCACGCAATTAAAATCGCCACAAACAATCCATGGGTCAATAATATCACCACCCAGATCCGCTAGGTGCTCACAAAGAACCCTCCGTTCAAGAACAGTATATAACGGGTAAACGAAACTAACCAACAAAGAGGTTTGAGTGACCCGACACATACATTTAACATGCATATGTTGCTTATCTATCTCCAAGAAGGTGCAATTTACAAAATTCGGGTCCCACATGATACCCATGCGCCCGCCATTTATTTTGTCAAAATTTGATTCATGCACCCAACCCGGCCACACATTAGAAACATAATTTTAAAACCATCAGAAGACAACTTAGTTTCTAAAAAACAACATAGATTTATTTGATTAAATCTAATAAAATTATTAATAGTGTTATGTTTAGAAGGTTTTTTCAAACCTCTAACATTCCAAGATGCAATTTTTATCAACATAAAACAAGGATAGAAGGAGAGAAAACCAAGGCAAACCTCACGCAATTCAAGAAAGATATAGGCCCGAAGAGAACGTTTCGTCTTCGAGGTCTATTCCCCCTTTATCCTTCAATGTTTTTCTAGTCCTTTTTCTCATTTCTTTAAGATACTTCCTGTTCCTGTCCAGGTTAGCATCGAAAAAAGATAAGACACGCTGAATAAAACTAGAGTCAATATCATACCAGTCACCATTCTTTTTGACTTCCGGGCAGCTAAGGAGGAAGTCCTCCGTGAAGTTTACTCCAGCATCATCGCATTGTAGTTCACCCAACTTTATCCCCAACTTGACAATGACACCTCCTCCTTTGTTATGTTGTGCGCATCGCTCAACAGTGATTTCAGAACCATGTTGAGTGAGCGAACTTGATGGCCAAATTTGCACGGGGCATACGACGTCTTTCGGGAAACATGGCCGCACCTAGGGATTCCTATATGTGCACCCTGACCATGCAACCTCAGGGCTAAGCGTTCTTAGAAACATGCTCAAGGTGTATTCCTCTTATAAGGAATTTAGGTGATGTTATAGTTTCAATGCTCGGCTAACGCATTGAGCGACGCCCTAGCTTTTTTTGTTATTAATAATCTTACTAGTTTGTCTTCCCATAGTGACCATGGACGGTGTTTTTTGTGTGTGAAAAGTTCTTGTAGCATTCGTGACGGTAACGGACCATGCACACCATAGTACATTATTGATGAGTGGATGTTGAACTTACATTATAGTGGTGAGATGAAACACCAAGAGGAATATATTATTGGTAGAATTTGGGTAGATGCTCAGCATTCCAGGTCATCTCAATCTCTTTCTCTTTAGTTGTCTGAAGTTTGAAGGTCCTTAGACGTACACTAATTTTATGATGTAAGGACCTTCATAATTTTTGGAGAACTTTCTTTCTTCCAAGATTTTTCAAGACATAGTCTCTGACGTCAAAGTTTCGTTTGCGCAC